CTTTTACATTTATAGCTCACTTGAGAAAAGCAAAAACAAACACGATCCTATAAGTATATATACGTATAGACAAGGGTCGAGCTTTATTCTAAAATTAAGTATCTCTGAGATTTTCTTATAAATATTTTCCTTTTATGAATGAGCTCAGTCGAATGGTTCGTGTAATCCAGCCTTCGTTTAAAATACCTGTTATGATGCATTTGGCTTATCAGCTTTTCGCTTTAGAAATCATTGAACTCAAGTCTAAAAGGATGTGTTTTTTTAGAATAACTTCTTATGACACGTCCCACTATTATACACTCATAGAACGATGATGCGTATAGTCTGCATTCAGTAGGACGGGGCCGAAAATCCTATACGTGCGACGTCGCTTTGACGTGCTCTCAAGAAAAATTAAGTGGTTTCTTTCTGCGTTGGTGGAAGAAACTAGAAGTTAAGAACTGACTTCCATAGTGATATAGGGGCCTTGGGCTTTTTGAGTAGCCATTTGGAGCTGACCCTTTTTTAGTCTGGCGTTTTGAGTTTTATTGGTTGATTTTTAACTTTTCCTGTTCAGTAAAACAGTTACAAAATTTCCAAAACCATTGTCGGTCGGGAGATCTCAAATGGGCGATCTGAAACTAAACGGGATTTTAGTACGCTTTCTGGCCAAAATACGAAAGGTCATTCTTCATATTCCAATCTAAAAGCAAACTACGGTAGTTCGACTGTGAGCGTATTACATTTTTACAGCTTTTTGCTCGGTCTCAAATTTCACATTTCAGATCTTCGGCCGACAACCAACGTTTTTTGAAATAGGTGTACTCGATGCATCGTTTGGTGGGTGATGATCAGAGTGCGCATGCGCTTGCCTCGGTTGCTCTTTTAAATTGGTTTTTACTTGATGAGGACACGAATAAGTAGGACATGATGGCTTAAACCGGTTTTATTTTATACCGTATTAACCAGCTATTCATCTCCATCGCCTTAATAGTTCTCAGGGGGTCTAGAAATACTGTGGAGATGAGGAAAAACATAATAAAAGGGGGAATGGGGATGGGGGCTCATTACTTGAAGAAGAAATTTAAATGTGGTTTATTCAATGACGGAGTCACGTAAACCAATCAAACATTTCAATCTAACTGAGGGCCGGAACTCCATGTGAAGACGTCAAAGTGTTAACGTGCACTTCAATAAGAGTTAGTAACTGAATTAGACTTTCTGGTGCACAACCAACAAAGCAACAGAGAGGCCGACTGCGAGAAACAGGAAAAGAACCTTTATATACTGCATTTGAAGGTAAAATTAGTTATATAACTCATTGGCAAATTTACAAGCATATATAGTGTAAAAAGGACATAGGAAATATATAGTTTTTACTTCACGACGTTTCGATGTCATCATGACTCCATTATCAAGTGATAAAGAAATTACAAGTGTACAGTAGTTTAAGATCAATCGAATTAACATATGATTTCTTGTGAAAAACAAACGTTTAAGTTGAAAATTGACAAATTTACAATCGTTTGCATGGCTGAGCTCATGCAAATAAACTGAAATTGCTTTGAAAAAATTGTAAAATAGTAAAGTTCTAATGCACTTGAATTTACGGCCGTCATTGTGGCAATAGGTCTATCTCCTTTTCTCCTTTTTGTAGATCAAGTTCTTTCATTTCACCGCAACATCATAGCGTATCATTTATTTGCGCAATCATGATTCGTGATAGTAATATACAATAAAATAAGCTTTTAGAAATACAGATACACCTACTTGCAAGAACGTTGACATACGAAAATATAACATTAGTGATTTAGTGGGATAGGAATTACATTWAAAAAAAACAAAAGAAGATCACTGAAGCTGAACTTTTTCTTTTGTCTTTAATTTATTCCTTTCTCGCTAAAGTACTAATGTTCTAATATCGTTTGACAACGTTTTTGCAAGTAGGTGTATATATTTTTGTCTTTGTAGCTTCGCTTTGCTCAGTAAATACATACGAAGAGCCAAAAGCACTACTTAGATTCTTAAGAAGTAAAAGCTCTCCCGGATTTAAGCTTTTACTGGTGACTATATATTTATCTTGCTTCTGATACTTCCGGCGCGCGCTGAATAGAGCACGGAAAAACTTATAAGCTTTATTTTATAAACCCAAAAGTCCATTTGGTCTTTATGATTTCCTATTTTTAAGCCACGCGTCTTTTCTTATAATGTATCCTTTCTCTAATGAAGAGCTAAATCATGTCTGAGATTGGAAACAATCTTTTAGATATGTTTGCGGTGCGTCTATCGAACCTATCGATCTCAGACAGACCTCTTAACAGATTGAATACACCTCTGGTATACGTGCGAAGGCTAGTGTTCTTACTTCAAACTCACTAAGACTACCATTGTCCCCTTTAATATCATTTTGATGTTAGGAGTTTCTTTGTGATATCATAAGAAAAGTACTAGTATAATGATGTATAAGACTACGAGGAAACCACCCAGTATCCGATAGGAAGAGATAACTAGCTAAAAACTAGAGTGAGCTGCGTCGGTGTTTCTAATGAAACAGTAATGATAAAAGGGTAAATTTTACACTGTGAAAAGATGAAAAAACTTCACTGACGTTTCGGGCGCTAGTCCTTCGTCGGAGTAAAAGAGAAAGAGGTTGTAGAAAGGAGTGTTTATATAATGACAATAAAACAAAAGATGAGAACAAGGTGGGCAAGGAAAGAAAAAAGAAAAAAAAAAAAAAAAAATCAAAAGACAAAAGAATTGGCTAGTAACCTAACTAATTACAATTTCTAAGAAAGGCTTGGAGGCGAAATTTACAACATTATTGTTAACTATTCACTACAGTTGAGGATCCAGGGGAGGGGTGCAAGGGGTGTGCACCCCTCCCTGGCTCGACTTTTTGCCCCTATTTCAAAGATTTAACCAATACAAAATAATATTTTTTCCCTTTGATTCTAAGGGGTGTACCCCTCCGTGGGTTAACTATGTGCGCTGCACCCCTCCATGAACAAATTCCTGGATCCGTCCCTGCACTACTCTATTACTCTATTAAATGTCTAACAAAAATATCAATTACAAATTACATCTTTCACTTATGAAAGCGGTACAATATCATTATTTATATTAATTTTATTGTTTTATTACAAATTTTGTAATATATGAAGAAAGAGTTTTTCTTTAAAGTCATTTGTTTTTTTTACTATCAGTAATGCAAGGAGGAAGATTATTCCATATTTTTGGTACGTTATACCGTCTTATATATATATAAGACTGCGAATGTTTTTATATTTGTTCGACATGGGTGTGATCTATAGTTCTTAGATATTCTGGTATTGTAATGGTGAAATTGTGAACTGGTGGAAAATAGGTTAATGAAACAAGAAGGGAGAAGATTGTTGTGATACAAATACCATAAAGTTGGCAATGCAAAAGGTAGAGTACTAACACTAAAAGTGTGCAACATTTTGCACTATTTAGTAGTAAATAGTGCTAATTAAACAATAGAAAACAATAGGATTAGCATAATTTAGCAGTGTTTAGTGGTATTTATGTTACACAGTTATAGTGTTTGTACTCTATTCAAATCAAATATATCTAAAATTTCATAATGATGCAATAAGGGTTTAGTATGACTACAATATTCTGCATTTGCTATTATACGTACTACTCGTTTTTGGAGTAACAGAACCCTATTCAGAGTTGATGTGTATAGGTGCTAGACCAGATTATGTTGCAATAATACA